AGTGCAGGACTCTTTGAGCCGCTGGGAGAGTTTTGACGTAAGCCCTGCTGTATCCCAGTGGACCTCTGGGAATGGCCACAACCATGGCTTCATGGTGGAGGTTCTTCATCCGGAGGAGAGGGAAATGGATGCGCGGCATTCCCAGAGAAGTAGTAGGCATGTCAGGGTGAGCCGGTCCCTGCACCAGGACCAGGACTCATGGCCTCAGGCTCGGCCTCTGCTGGTGACGTATGGCCATGACGGCCGTGGGGACTCAGTACTCCACACACGGGAAAAACGTCAGGCAGCGCTGCGCAAACAACGCAGGAAGCACCAGCACAAGGCCAGCTGCAAGAGGCATGCCCTGTATGTGGACTTCAGTGATGTGGGGTGGAACGAGTGGATAGTGGCACCCCCTGGCTACCATGCCTTTTATTGCCATGGGGAATGTCCGTTCCCCCTAGCAGAACACCTCAATTCTACCAATCACGCCATTGTGCAGACGCTGGTCAACTCAGTCAACTCGAACATCCCCAGAGCCTGTTGCGTGCCCACTGACCTCAGCCCCATCTCCCTGCTGTACCTGGATGAATACGAGAAGGTCATCCTGAAAAACTACCAGGATATGGTGGTGGAGGGATGTGGCTGCCGGTGAGAGACTGACAGTGGTATGGATAGAAAGAGAGATTGGGCAAGAGAGACTGAAAGAGACATCAGAGGTTATAATGGACACCCGGTTTCCCAATGAAGACGTTTATTTATATGAAAGAAAGACAAAACAGAGCTATTGTGGAAGAAGAAAAAATACTATATATGAATATATTTATGTCTACATAAAGTTGGGAAAAATAAATATTTTAATCAGAGGAATATTCCTTTACTGGTTTTAAAAATGTATTTCTGATGTACATTTCGAAATGGGTGCAATACCACATGAAGTATAATGCTCAGATTTTTATTTTGTATTTATTTCTATTATAACCACTTTATTTGTAAATAAATAATGTGTATTTATCTTGAAGAAACGTGGTCACTCCAATTGTCAAAGATAAACTTCAGTAAACCAGCCATTGTTGATGTATCTATGTCAGGGCCAACATGTGTGGCTGGCATGAATAACAGGGTTTCAAACTGACAGAAATTAGCTGCAAAAATATGACACGACAAGAAGCTCACACTACACTGATTGCAAACCAAGCACTGAACTCTTTTGGTAAATGTAATTGGAAACCAACAACAATAGAAGTGTAGGGAGGAAAGTGACAGAGCCGGGTCAGGGTGCCACTGGTGTAATGAACTGCAGTAGGGTGTAGGGTCACAGGACGGGAGTGACAAGCTACAAGCCCACAAATGTGATAGACTCCCATGGGAGGATTAGAAAAACATGAGAGCATGTTTTCATGCATTACATGTCACTGCAAAGATCCCTGGGAAGGCTCGTTTCGAAGCTAGTTCCTATGTTTTTTCTGTTTCTAACCAACATTAATGGAGAAAAAACAAAGTGGACCTGCAGGGCTTCAGAGGAAGGTCTGACAGGGTGCAAGGTATATTTATAGTAAGATTTGAGAATCAAAGATTGCAACAGGCTCGAAGCAAGAAAAGAGCCTACTGGCACTTTAATTAATAAAGACAAACAAACACACACCTGCACCTGTCCACATACTGCACATGCTCAGACAGATTCTTCCCCACTGCAGAGTTTGGCTGCCTTCCTTTGTCGTTTCTGAGTCATGAGGCTCTGATGTGTTTCGGCACTTAAGTACAAAAGAAAAATACAGGAACGTTTCACAAAACTACTCAGCAGCTGCAAATAATGAACTGCAAAATAAAAAATACCTGAACACTGACACCAAAAACAGCTTATGAGCCATGTTTTATTCACTAAGACAGTGGGGATGGCTGGCTGGCAAAAACAAAACATATCATGTGTTACAGTAAGACAGTTTGAAGCATGAACACCTGAGTCAATATCTTCATAATGTAATGTTTTCGATGGAAACAACGTAATATCTAGACCAAATTGAATTGACTAAAACTGCTCCAGAAAGACACAGATGAAAATTTATAGTGTAGCCACAATAGCAGATCAGATAATGAGAGGGAGAAGAGAAACAGAGAGGGAGAGTTTTGCAGAGTTTGACTGACTGCGTTTTCTGCTGTGTTTGCATTAGAAAGGGTTTGGAGGGATCACAAGGCAGCTCAAAATGCTCTAAATAGAATGTTTTTTATGTGAGCGCACATTGGGACCGTGGAATGTTGGTTTTCAATCTCAGACACATGCATACGCTTGCATGGAAAACCAACGTGGTTGTTTTTTCAATCATCTATTCAAGGGTTTCCTGGTGGGCTTTTTCTCTTCAAAAACAAATGTGCATTGAACAAAGATACGCTTGTTACTTATATAGGAAATGTAAATCAAAACATTTAGAAGGAGCCGTGAGACTTTACTCACAGGCAGTAAAAACACTGAAATGTCACCATTTTCTCATGTGCCTCAGATCATATCTGTTTACCCATTCTTATCCTCCAATGATGTATAGCACCCGGCTACTCTAGATGATGCAACTATCCAATTATTTTATACATGCACGCACAGACCCACACACACGCACCTCCTCCCTGTCCTTTCACATTTCAGATTCAATCTCCTGCATGTGTTATTTTATTCTACCTTGCATCTCCACCCCCCCTTGGTCCCATCTGGTGTCCATTTCTCCTCTGTGGACCCCACCATACCACAACCCCGCACATGGTCTGCACATACCTCTGCCAGTGGCAGCACGATTTTAATGGACTTCAGGAGGAAGTCACTTTGCTGGCTCACTTAATGAACATTTGATAAAAATCAACAGCCTTAACGCCGAAAGTTTTTGGGGAATTTTTGTGTCAAAGAAATGTTCGATTTAGTGGTTGTCCTCCATAGTTCAAGTCCATAAACCTTTCATTGGGTTGGGTGGAAATACTGCTCCCAGAGTGGGTGACACATGGGTAGCACTCCTGAAACTCCCCTACGGCACCGCATCCCAGCTGCATTGGGCTCCAGTGTGAGCTGCCCACTGTTCCTCCTACTTCTGGGGCTTTTCATTTTAGAGCCACGTTAGTATCAGACAGCTCCTCAGGGACTGCTCCTAAACTTCTTACTAAGAACAGGGGTCAGGGGTCAAAGTAATGAGGACCTATTATCTCCGCCATCACAGATTGACTTCCAGGCTCATCACGTCATCACGTACTAGTGACCTCAAATGTGGTCAACCACCGGTTAGGACTGAGAACATGTTTGTGTTTCATCCTAGTCCGTTCTTTTTATCCAGATTATGCACATCACGGACTTTAAAACCATCTATTTTATGGCTCGAAAGAATTGATGATGAGCAAAAAAAGTCTGTGTGAGACTGTTTATTCCATGATTTAGTTATAAAAGCTGTGATATGTGTTCTTGGCAAGATTCTCTTCACCTGCTACACAGACATCTGTAAAGTCACTCTTTAAAAACAGATTTTCCTCTTCCTTCTCCATGAACATCTGGTAAATCTGTTAAAGGTGTCCTTCACTGTCTTTGTTTATGCACAAACACACAACAGAGCAGCCGCACAACTGATGAGCATAACACTGGAAGCTGGGACCTACCCTGCGTGGCAGGGCTCATTCGCTTTTGTTTGGTGCACTGCAGACCACACCAAAACTATCTGCAGCTCCAAACAACCCAAATCATAAGGGTTATAAAATCAGATTTCCAGATTTCTGGCTAGCCCAGAATTGGAAAATATGTGGCGTGCCGTGTATGTTTGATGAAACGGAGGGCTCAGGCACTATGGGAGATCTCGACTGGCTCTGTACCAAGGTGTAGAGAAGTGAAGAGAGACAGTGGCCACTTTTGAGTCTTTTTTAACTTTGGATCTTTTCTCCTTCATGTGCTGCACACACTAATTTTAGAGGTGGTGCGTCTGGTGTTTTTTTTTCTGTATTCTGAGAACAGCCAGTGAGATGACGTCCAGCATAGCTAAGACTGTGGCATCTGTGCTGCAGCTCTGAACACATCAAACAGACGGGCGTCTACAGATTCAGGAGCAGAGCAAATATGGAAATTACTTTTCCAGAATGACTGCACGGATGATAGTACTTTTACATGTATACAATCTTAGCCTTTCATTCTTTCACATGCACGTATCTGCTCGTACAAGCGCAAATGAATTTGTGAGCACATGTGCCACAAAAGCAATGGTTTTGAGTCATGGAATGTGTTTGTACATTCACATTACAAAAGGCATGTAGGAAATGACAGCAACATTACTAAACACTATCGCTTGCTTGCTCCTGAAATACGTTCTGCTACTACCATTACTGTAAGAGCTAATCATCCATGCAATCACAGTGGAGTTGGCCTGGAGTGACATGCTGAAATGATTACCTCTGGCAGGGACTCAATGGAAGAGACCATTCTGTAGCCTTATTCTCACAGCAGTATAGTCTCGCAGCTAGTACGGAGTTAAAAGCCTGTCTGCCATTATGATACTCTTGAGAACAAGGCAATGAAATCTTAGAGGATGGACGAGACCTTAAGCCAAACGCTTTTTATCGATGGGCGATGGGGGCCAGCAGCAGGAGGAGGACCTCGTCACATCAGAGCTGTTCATCTCTCATCCAATGACTCTGATTAACTCACACATTTCTTATGATATCTAGACATGGGGTGCAATACTCTTCCTATCCTGCTCTCTCTCACTGTTTTGATTATAGTAAATTATATGAAATAGGGTGAGAGAAATTACTGGAGGATTTGGGTAAATTATAAGTTAGGGTAAGGGTAAGGTAAGTTGATTTCCTTTTCCTTATATTTTCAACAGTTATTCTGTGATCAAATAGGAATGGACTGGAGGATGTGTACCTTGCACTTTCCACAGAGGGTACAGGAAGGAGTTCCATATGGACCACATATGGGCTTCTAAAACAGGCTTGAGGATGGATTTGCCTCTAGACACTGATCTAAGGTCAGTGTCGTGTTTACTCCTCTGATGGTTACAGTTAGGTTTGGGGGGAAGGGTGAACCCGATTTGATTCTGGAACGTTGCTGAAGGGCGTCTCCTACACCCCAAGCTTGAAAGGGGCTGTGTGGTTACGGGAGCGGCCTCCATCTTTGTAGCAGGAAGTGAAGAGATCAATCAAAGGCAGCTACATGACATCCCCCAGCCTGCCTGTTAAATAAATGTCAATCTTAGGCACAGTAAATCACATGCATTACCACGCATACGACTTCAAATCAGCAATGTTCTCATTCAGAGCTAGCAATGAATAATAAGCTCATAACTATGTTTGATGACAGATAGTAGACACACACATATATATATATTATATATATTTACTAATTTATCGCACAGTTTGCTGTGATTAATCGTGACGAATAGCTTTTTTTCTTCTCAAGACTGAAGCTTGTAATAATCGATATTTAAATGTAGAATAGGGATGTTCCTGGCGACTCAGTTTTCTGTTGATTAAACAAATTTTTAATTTAAACTAGTTGACTAGTCTAAAAGTAGGAAAACACTCAGAAAGCAGTCAAAATTTAGCAAAATTTAAAGACACAAACCACACACACCACACAAGTTAGTTAGTCTGTTAGATACCCCAGGTTATTCTGTTACACGCATTTGATGTAGGTTGGTTTGTTACATTTCTATCTGCATTTAAATGTCAGTAAACGCATTAAAATACAACTGAAATGGGCAAGATATGGACAACGCTGTGAATGATTAGGAAGAAAATGGAGACACTGTTCATGTTATTAAATGAGGAGAGAGATCACTCACATGGCTGCTTGATCATTGTGGGATAACTTGATACATGATGTCCATGTTTTCAGGGAACAGGTACACTAAAGCTACTTAAGCTATCTAAACATCGCATGTCAGTCAGCATATACAGCAGTCCAATGGTCCCCTGCGAAAGCAACGTCCTTTTTTTGTGTAAGCATGATCGTCCTCCGTGCCCCTTTAACCTTCACTCAAACGTTTTAGGTCTCCTATTATATTGATGTTTTTATTCTCTCCTTCAGTAATGGCTATTTTAACATAGAAGGAATCTGTGTAATTCAGACACCAAAAGTATTATTAACATTTGAATTAGTTTTGGCCCCAAAAGAAGAATAATTAAATGATTAAAACTTAGTCAAGGTTCCAACAGTGCTGTATGAAAAAAGGGAATACTGTTGTAACAACCCCCCCCCCAAATACCTTTCGTTTATGAATTTGTTTTCAAGTCCAGAAAAGCCAAGTTACCATAGATCATTATTAAACCACAATGGGCTCTAAATATTTTGGGAACCTGTTTTTCTTTGGGCCCTGCAGTCTACTCAGTGGTTAGACTTAACATGTTCAAACTGTGATGGGTCAGTCCATAGTATGTTCAGCTTATATTCAATGATCCATTTCTAATAGTGCTAACCGTAGACTAACGAACAGCTTAGCAACATGCCTGTTAATTTCAGCTTGTAAGAGGCATTACTGTGCACTTGACAATGAAACAGGAACCTGTTTCTATTTAAATCTGCCCAGATATTGATACAAAGTTTCCAGTTTCTTTGACCAATGGCTGGTGATTTCTTATATTCTTATTTAACTGTTGCTCAGAAGTATCTTTGTATCTTTCTGCCCTTTCAATTGTCAGTCTGGTTGAATCATTATACAGCGGTTTGTTGTCCATGTACAAAATATAGCTTTTTTTGCAAACCCTCCATACAAACTAACTATTAATCTATTTGTAGTCCTCTCAGCCATTTGACTGTACCAAATCAAACTTTTGTGGTTGGTGACCCCAAACTTTTGAGCAGTAGTGTACACACACACACACACACACACACACACACACACACACACACACACGCACACACGCACACACGTATATATACCTAGATGGCCTAGATGTTGATCACTACATCTGATGAGATGAGCTTATATTAACTTTTATCTGACAGTAGATGGCAACAACCCATCTGCAACGCTGTCTGGTTGATACCGCAAAGCCTCCTATCTCCCACTGTATGCCAGTCGCAATGGAGGTAAGAAAGATAAGGAAGGTTTGACTTCTTTATGAAGAACATGTCTCCACAGTTTAGGATTACAGAATACTAACACTACTATCATTGTCATGAGTTGCAAAGTGTCGATGCAGCACCTTGTGGAGCTCCAGGCCTGGAACCCAGTCCACCAAGCATCAGTTGATCCCCAGCTATGAAAGGAGACCTGTTATGGAGTTCGGGGCCGCACTTGGTGGTCTATGAGAACAAGCTGGTGCTGAACCTTTTGTACTTAGAGCAGATTACCAGGAGGCTGCTTCCAGATGCAGTGCACCAGGGGAAACAGGCTCTCTTTCCCTGGGTGGTATGGGACAAATCTATTCCCCACACTTTTCTCATTAGTGTAATAAGCTTTGTATAAACCACTGGACTGCCATTGTCAAGGACACACGCACCATCTCCTCCATCCATCCATCCATCCATCCATCCATCCATCCACACAGTACATCTCACACATATCTGTACTGAAGAGGTTGTAGGTTGGAAAATGTTAAGATGAAAGGCTTGAAAACACTTATTTTGAAGATTGTCCAACCTGTATACATATTGTACAATCTCCAGCCCTTGAGCATGTGCTGTATTGTATTCACATCGATGTTATATATAATATGCAGTGTAGGAATTGTATACAAAAAGTATAATAGTATACAATAATATTCTCTATCCGTTAGAACCCACTGATCAGATGCTGTGTTCGCAAAAGCCAACTCTGTAAAAGCAAAGTGAAAAATAGTATGTATTGTTTTGTAACATATTTAAATTTTACAGTGGTACGTGGGAAAAATCATTTTCCATACCCATCAGTTATTTTGAAAGGGGGCTTCATCAACCTGATTGCACAGGGAGATGAGAGAAGCTTGTTTATGTAAAGTCCACAACCTGAGGGCCCCAGCTAGCTCAGCTGCGAGGTGTAACTCACACTCCTTCAGCCTGCTCTCCCACAGCCTGTCAGTGGCATGGCAAAGTCTGCCTCACCAAGCTTCCTGTGAGTCACTTCCTGTCCTGCACCTGCACTCCCCTGAGTGATGTCATGGCAGGTTTTCCTCTTGGAGTCGCACACTCCCCGTCTGGCATAATGCGTGTATGCATGTGAGTTTATGTGTGTACATCCATCAGCATGCCTGGCCCAAACTTCAATCAGCAGACCTGCGGTGAATGCGGCCCTTCATAGTTTTAGTGATGAACTCCTCCGTGAGGCAAAGGCTTTGCAGAGGCAAATCAAACAGACAGGGGAGGAAGAGGACAGTGGTAGATGGAACATGGATTCAGTCCCAATGCTGGATTATTGTGATTTCTTTCTCCTTCGCTTCCATCTTCTCTAAGACACAAATATGTCCTTTTGTTGCTTCCTTGTGTCTGTGTATTCAATTACTCAAGAGTCCTTCTGTGCGTCCTTACTGAGCTTTACGTAATGAAAACTTGACCTTTATGAGAAAGGAGTAGTTCTGTTTTCCAGTGAGGAGAAACAACCTCTAGATGTCCTCAATATCTGTAAGAATAATTACAGTAGGCCTTTCTACCATCAGTGACCGCAGTGAAAATGATAGATTGAGGGGAACGCACTACTTGGACAGGCCCATGAGTAAATGGAAATATTGTATGAGAATGAGTGCATACTTTTTTCCTTTATCCTGGGCCGTAAGAAGTGATGTTTTTTTTCAACCAACCATTTTTTTTGCTCTTTTTTTCCCCTCAGGTTGAATGTGTATGTACGTGAACGGGCAGGAAATGCCTTACAGCTCCCATCAGCAGAGGAGAAACCCGTTACAGGTCAAGGGTCACAAGAGGAAGGCAGCAGGCATATATCAATATTCATTTCCTTTTCTGTTACATTCACAGACCTCTTGCTAGTTTCACTCCTTTATAGAGTGTGTTATGGATCATTAGTTCTTGCTAGCTGCCTGTTGACAACATTAACTGCTCTAATGGTAGTCTGTGGGAAACTCAGAGCTGTGTCCTCCCTTTTAGTGTGTGCGTGACATTCATCTGGTTCTGGTGCTGATAGATGGTGTAGACCAGAAAGAGGCCAATGCGAGAGAAAAGGAAGGCTCAGGCACACTCTGGTTTTCTTTGACATCCACATAACTTCCTCACCACTGGACTCACATAAAGCATACAGTCGCCTGTTCAGGGCTGCTTTGTCCTCTTGGTGAAAATGCAGTTGTGATGCACTATTATTAAGAATCCACAGCTGTCACAGCGGAAATTGATTAAGTATACTTAGAAACTTATTTTCCTCATTAGAATGGGCAGCATTTAGAGGGCCACAGTTTACCAACATTCGGGGGTTGACATTGGACTGAATCTCTGTACTGTCACTGTGCAAACTGCGGGCGTTCTGTTGACTGGGACATAAAATAGTGCTGTTGGGTTTTGGGTTTCCAGAGCAGGATCAGGGCTGCAGTATATTGAGTCCATGTGGAGAGTGCGTTTTTAATCTGAGCCTTACCCACAGTCCTTCCTGTTTCTAATTTGGCGCTGCAGCGGTTTTGTCCCGAGGCCAAGAGCCTCTCTTCCACAGAGTGTCTATTTCCTCTGAAGTGAATAGTAGCAGGTGTGCTGGCCCGAGATCCCTTGGAGAACTCTGCTTATGAATGGCCCACATCTCACTCTTTCTTACCCGTCTTTGTTTTCTTTTTTCTTCCTTTCATTCTTATTTTTCATTGTCTCAGTCTTTCTCTCTTTTTCACATTCTTTCTTTCGTTCTTTCTTTGCTGTTATGTCTTCACCACTCTGTGGTCATTCCATTGTCTCGCCCTCATCTCTTCTGATTTTCTTTCATTCATCCCATTTGCTCTCTTTGCTTCCTTCAAGATCAAGGTGTAGTACTGATAAGTCATAAAGCGGCAGCTTGTGCTAATGAAAACAATAAAAGACAACGGCAAGAACAAGGGCAGCACCATCACATATCAACCCTGCCAGACATCTGACATAATAAATCACATAAAACAGTGAAACTGTCAAAACATCCAAATTAGGTTTAGAATTCAGTTTATTGGAATTGCCTTTGTTGTGGAAGACATAATACCACCCTTTAGCATTTGTAACTATTACTATCCTGAATAAACTTACAATACAATAAACAAATGTGCACACACAGTGCAAATCCTCTAAATAATGAAC